AAAGTATAGGTTTCCATCCCTATATCTTGCATAGGCTCAAGATGGTCTCCTTGTAGTGAACCTCACCTCACCTGTTACATGTACTTCCAAGGTCACATTTGGCCATCACCCAATGTTTTCTGCCTTGAAAGCCATTGTTTTATGTTTTCGAAGTAAAATTTAATTCATGTAGAAGAGTAAGTCAATTCCTATTATTCAGTTTTGGCGACAGATTCTATAATATATTTGAGGAGGTGAGTATTATCTTTTGCTATGTTCCTTGAAGGCACATTCATAAATAATCTGTGATTTAAGTACATAAAAAGTAATGGGCGTGGGGCCAGGGAGATAGCTAAGTAGAATAAGTGCTTCTCTGGCAAGCACAAGGGCCTGAGTTCAATCCCTGGTTCCACCAAAAAAAACAGTAATGGGTTTATATACACTTTTTGATTTAAATGGAAAAGTCTGATGAATAATTTATATAAATTGGGGTTTTCCCATATTGTTTAGGAAATTTTTGTGCTGTAACAGGATTCAATATTGGGTATATATCACTTAAGACATGCTGATTTATCTACATTCACCTAACCATGTCATGATTGTGTAACTTCAAGTGACTTATTTTGATACACTGCTTCTTTCTCAGAGTTTAACATTCCATATTTAAAAATTTTACTTTTGCATATAACGCATGGGTATATCCTTGAAGGCACCATGGACATCTAGTGATATTGTCATATGCTTCTTTCAGGAGTGGGACCATATGAACTCACATCAGAGGAATTAGTACAGAAATGTGATGTCAGAGAATTACACCAACTTGGACTTCTTGGATATCAGCATGAAATGATGTACAATCTGCTTTAAAACTGTCTGCTTTCCTCACTGTATACTTAATGCTAATGGTAAGAAACCCAAAACATTCTTACCCCATATTCTCAAAGAATTTATTTGAAATTTACTGAGTGGAAATGGGTAATCCTGTTCAGCACCTGTATCTTTTCTATTCCTCAGTTGCCTTTCTGTTTCTCTCTTTCTTCTGCTCTATAGTTGCTTTTTTTTTCTTTCTCTAAATTAATAGAGCTTTGAATTTTTGGACTTTCTCTGCATAACCACTGTCAAAAAAAAGTTTCTATTGTGTGTTCTCAGAATGTATGTAAATGCTGAATGTGAATTGCAGATGCACCTATACAGAGACCAAGTATTTTGGGATCTTGTTTTTCTCTTTACTATAAAAGTACTTTATGGATCTTATAGGATAGAATAAATCATAATTATCATGATGAATGTTACTTTTGTAATTACAGCAGGGATCTCAAGATGTTATTTTGCAATGGTCTCATAGATTCTATCCAAAAGTAGAAGTATTTGTTCAGTATTATGAAAACATTTGACCATCATTCCTCTCTTTTAAAGTCTTTTTACATTAGATCTATTGAGAATAATCTCACAATTTATATCATGTGTTTATATTCTTTTTTCCCCTCTATTTTTCTCTTCACAGGAGTTTTGACTATTTTTGTTGATTTGTATTCCAGATCAGTTAACCTTATCTTCTATTTGATGAGTCTACTATTAAAGTGATATTTTTCATATCAGATTGTCTTCTGATTTGATTCTGTTTTATAACTTTCAATTATCTGTTGAAATTCTTCATTCTTTTATCTTACCTCCTTTTATTACTATCCTTTGACTCGGCCCATGAGCCGAGACGTGGGGTAATGACCTGGAGGAGGAACGGGGATGAAAAAGACAGGGCAAGAGACACGAGAGACAGAGACAAGACAGGCTTTCTGATCAAGTCTCATTTATTGAGGAAGTGAACAGGGTCTAAATAGCTGTATAGTGGAAGTAGTTGGGTGGGATTAGTTGTGGATTGGTAGTGAAGATCCAGGACCAGAGGAAGATGTCGAGACAAGCAGGAATTGGTGCTGCAGCACTTCTTGCCCAAATAAGGGAAAATATAACAGGAGCATTCTATCACCCCCCACATATCCCCCCTTTTTATTAAATACATCAAGCGGAAATTGACAGTGCCCTGCGGGGACAATGCCTGGCTTGGGTCAAGGACTCCTTCACATGAGATCAACCA